CTCTCTCTCTCTCTCTCTCTCTCTCTCTTTTTGGTCTGGCACACACACAAACAAACGAGTTATGGAAGTGTTTTGTGTTTTGTATAAAATGATTGCAACGAAATGTGCATTTGCATTTCTTCCGGGCGTCTTCTGTTGCAGTCGGCGTGTGATGTGGTTGGAGAGTGTTGTCCATTCGTGTGTCGTGTCAATCGTGGGAATCGACATGCATGGTGTTTGGAGAAATTTCGTTAGCAGTCTGAAAAGGCCGTCTTCAATCGGATTGCATGGTTTATGACATGGTTATTGTGCCCTGCACTCCGTCCTCCACTTTCGTTTCATTTTGATGTTCCTTTTTTTGGGTTTGTTTGATAATCGTAATGGGAGTGTAGTTTTTCATTTTTTTTACTTTCCCCTAACTTCACTGATTCTTGGGAAGTGTGTAGATGGGGTGCATTCGTAGGGACGTCGTCTTCCGATGCAGACGTTTTTTTTTGCAGTGTCTGGGCGTTCGTGATGGAGATAGGGATGGGCGGGGTAGACTGGGGTCGGATGGTGGCCCTTGGAGAATTTCAGGGGTCGAATGTGATGGGGGAGGGGGGGGGGGGGGGCTTAAAGGGTTGTGTACGGCGGGCGGAGTGGGTGTTCGGTAGACTGTTTTTTTTTTGGAGGGGGGTGGTGTCTCGCGATGTCGTCTTTTTTTTGTCATTGGTTGTCTCGTCGCCCCATGCAAGTGGGCACGATGGTTGACTGCAGTCCGCCGTGTTGCGGGAAAAACAAATGCAAACACACGCCGAAACGACAGCGCGACATCACTCCCACCCTTCCCCCCACAACCACCATTTCCCAATAAGTACCGCACAATCGCCCCACTCCGCAGTCATCCAAAAGCGTGCATATCATTTTCACGCCGCCTGCTGAAGGACTTGCAGAACATCTTCACGCGATCATCCACCCCCCTCCCCCGGCCTCTTTTATGCGCGCCTCCATCACATCTTCTCGCCGCCTTTTCTTTCGCGTCCATCACACCCCCAAACAACTCCCCCCCCTCCTGTCTACAGCCTCTTTCATGCGTCGGTCCATCACATCTGCTCGCCGCCTTTATTTTCGCCTTCGTCACATTTTCTCGCCGCCTTTATCCTCGCGTTCATCACATCTTCTCGCCACCATCGCTGCTCGATCGCCGTGTATGGCGACCGCCGCCATCTAGTCTTCTCGCCTACTGCGACACTACCCGCCGTCAACCGGTTTCCATGTGCGCCGGCATCTAATCTTGTCGCTGCCTGCCATATCTGGCAGTATAATCATCGCCAACCTTCTCCATTGCGCGCCACCATTTAATCTTATCGACGCCATCTACTTTCGCCGCCATCAAGCACCACTCGCCGTGTGGCAACGTGTCGCCGCCTGAAGATCTGCTCGTTGCCATCTCCAAGGTCAACGGATCGACGCTTTTTTTACGCGCCTTCCATTCCATCGTGCAAACGCAATGTCTTCTCGCGCCATTCCACGTGGGAGAGGTGTTGGGAAACAAGTATCAGAAGGCGAGCTTGTGCCGAAGAAAGGTCGCCACGATCCCGCGAAGAGAAGAAGGGGTGTCCAAGGTGGGAAAGGCGTAGTCGGGCGAGAGGTCGAGTTAGAATGGGTGGATGAAGAGGAGAGACAGGAGGAGGACGAGGACTTCCAAGAAGAAGAGGATCAGACTCTTAAGAGGAAAGTGAAGCAGAGAACGGGGGGCGCTATACGGATCGAAGTGGGGGGGGGGGACGCAGCAGAGGTGGCTCATGATCAACCACAGATACCCTCGAATAAGCGGAACCAACAGCCTGTTGGCGTGGCTAGCAGTTCCCAGGCTGTGATCGACGTCTCTGCGAAGCGATCCCCTGCGCTGCAGCCGCGCGGGGAGACAGTTCAGGTGCTGTGCGAAGTGGCGGACGGTGCGAAGGCAAGCGATGTTCAGGCGGTCGGCGAAGACGACGAAGCCGTGGTGAACAAGCTGCGCGGACAAAGTGAGGAGGCGAAAGCGATCGAGGTTGCCGCGAGGCTATGGACCGACGACATTTGCTTCTGGAATCAGACGCGGGGACACGAAATTATATAGATCATACATGAAGCCCGAGTTTACCTCGTTGACGTAGCGACCGGAGTGCAACCATCGCCGATCCATCAACCTCCCCCATAGTTCAATCCCGCAGAAGAAGATCGAAGACGTGTCGGAGTTGAGGGTGGCGAAGGAAAGGGCGTTAAAGGTGGAGACCATTGCGAAGAGGGCGGAGACCATTGCGAAGAGGGCGATCCACAGCTGGATTTTCATGTCCAATAGCAGACACAAGGGGTATCATTTGGCGTACCAGTACGCCTTGAACCACGCGGCTACTGACATCGCCAGAGCGATGTGGGCATCGGAGGACTGGCGTTCGTTAGTCAGCCCGATGGTGATTCGATACACGCTGGAGCTGGGTATGAAGCTCCCTTGTGGTTCGTCGGAGCGAACGTGGTGGACAAGCACCAGGACGACGAGTGCGCGGCTTACCAGGAGGCCATCGCTCAACGTTTGGTGCACGATTTCAGCAATGTGGTGGAGGCGGCGCAGGTGATGGACTCGGGCCGCGTTTCTTACGAGCGTCTGAAGTCTCTGGCGGAGGCGATGAGATATTTTCTGGCAGCGGCGGTGTGGATAATGAGGATGGCTGGGGACGACTCAAGATCGCACTACTACGCCTGTTTTTTCGTGCAGTTGACGGCGAAGACCACCCTTCTTGCTTCCATGGATCGCCATTTAGACTCGCGTATCATGTCTTGCAAGCTGCAACTGTCATTACGGACAACTCGGAAGACCGCCTCCGACCTTCGCTCCCCCCCCAATGTACATCCCCGACTGGGCGTCCAAGTGCGGCGTCACGTTCAATCACGATGCGACTTTGTCCTCCCCGATGGAAGCGACGAAGATGGAGTGGATCGGCACAGGCCCCCCTGAGGAGGAAGACGACTACGACGAAGATGTAGATGGTGCCGAGGGTGGGTGATAGTGGGAGCCGAAGTAGATGAACTGTCGGCGAGGGTGGGTGACAATGGGAGTCAAAGTCGATCTTTGGCGGCAGTGTTTTTGTGTCTTCCACACCCACACCACCGACGAGCCACACGGTTGGAAGTGCACATACTTTGCGTCGTCGGGTGTGAACTCATTAGGTTTTGCAGCGGACGACACGTGTTTTGTCTTGTTCGAAGTAGGGTACACGGTGGTTGCGTTCGTCTGGAAAAGCAGCCGTTCATTTAATTTCCTAATCGTCCTTCACATTCCCTTTTTTTTGAGTTCTCGACCTGCATTCGTTGTCGAATACGACGAAGCGAAGGCTTTGGTTCTCTTCTCTAATTCGTCAAACGTGATTTCGACGTGGTCATTGTGATTTTTACTTGCCGTCAAACGGTGATCTTCTTTTACATTTAAATAATGGGGCTCTTGTTTCATGTGGGCGATGAAACGATGTGTCGATGTCTGTTTGATGTGATGACGAACGGAGTTTGTAGATTGTTTTGTAATCTCCATGAAACGATGTGTTTGTTGATGAATGTGACACCATGCATTTGAAGGATGTTATGTACAAAGGTTTACGAGATTTCACGACACCATAAACGTTTAAAAAAAAAAAAAAAACAGTGTTAAAGAAAAGTCCAGCATTTGCAGATTATGAAAACATACACACACACACACACACACAC